ACGTAACTCCCCCAGCCCTACCTGGAGACACCAGGGATTGTACCTGGGACCTTGTGCGTGCAAAGCAGGAACACCTTTCACTGAGCCACAGCATTCTCCAGAGGAAAAAAGGTAAAAACAGAGGTTCTCATTCAGAACGCACATCATAGATGACACGTTCCTATGTCTTTGTTTTCCTGGAGGCACCGTTTTCTCACAAGCTTTGGCTTGTAAGCCAGGATGGGAAGGAACATCTTCCAAAAGAAGTATTGCCGTCAGGCTCCTTTTCATGCACAGACTTGAGAAAAGCCTGGCTGTGCCAAGCAGTTGGCTGGGAAATGTTAGTTCCGCTACACTTGGACAATGTGTTCCTGCTGGAAAGGGGGCTCGAAGGATGTCCCCCGCTAGGACACCTCCCTGCAAAAGGGAGGGGGGTGTCTGGACAAAATTTTGGCCAAAGATGCAGGCAAATCAGTAAGAATAACCTCACCCTGAGACCACCCAGTTCTTATAAAACAGGGAAAGCAGGGAGCACCAAAATCTGAACAGAAGCATGTGGCAACCATGTTGAACTTGATAGTGGCATTGCTTTTTATCAGTGTTTCATCTCACTTGTCCATTTGCCCCTCAAGGTAGTGCACAACAAAATTATAAAAATTAAAAGACCAGAAACTTTGGCCTCTGTCTCTCCAAGCTCTTCCTTTCCTGCTGTTTGCAGGAAAAACCTGGGCTAGGTTTGTTTCTCCTCCCTCCCAATCCCTTTTCCTTTTGTGTCATGACTAGCAGGGCACTTCCAGACATTGTGTTTACTGAGCATTCATACTGATCAATCTGCAGGGAGATTAGATTACGCTGGGTATCATTCTGATTAATTTGTGGGGAGGTTAGATAGTGCTGCATCAAAGCAAGCGTTACTCACGCACTTTGCAATGATTTCCACTCCCCGCTTCATCACTTATTGCAAGACATCTGATCTTTTGTGGAAACAAAGCTCAATCCACTACAACTGCAGAACCTGAGTGTGCCAGTGTGTAATTGAAACCCACCTAAAAATAGTGACAATGGAAGCCCTCTTAGATAGCTTCAGGGCAGAGACTATCTTCTCATTGTAAGCCACTCTGGTAGCCTTATTTCACTGTTGAGTAGGATAAAAATGCCAAAAAGAACAACAATAATAATAAAAAAATACCTTCAGGGATTGTTGTTTTAAGTGCACAAATTTAAAACAACAAAAATGTTCATCCCTCAGGTATGCACACAGGCTAGTCTTCAACAGGCCTGCCTGCGTGAACTGCAAACCAGTGGTGCACACATGCTCCTTCTATCTACATTTCATGGGCTGGCCAATCACTTAACATCCTCACTGTTTTTGCGGGCCCAATGGGACCAAGCCCCTCCTTGTCCGCCAACATATGACAACCCTCTCCCCACTTGGGAATCCCTGCAAATGGAATTCAGATGCACACTGTCTCCAACACTGGAAGCAAAACATAGCCATCGTGGCTAGTAGCAAGGGGCTGCCCTAACCTCCATGAATTTGTCTCATGAACTATTTTTAAAAATTTGGTTGCTGGTTACTCAATTGCTCTGGAAACAAAACCAACTCAACAATAAGGGAACCTGGGAGTTTGTGTGTGCAAAGCATTTGCTCTCCCACTGAGCGAGGGACCCTCAAAATGGTGGGCAGAAAAGATCGAGAGAAAGAAAATCAGCATTAAGGTTAGAGAAAAGCTTCTATCTAAAAAAACACGAGAGCCTCTGCCAGTCGGTGTAGAGTAGACCAGCCTTTCTCAACCTTAGGTTCCCAGATCTTGAACTACAACTCTCACCATCCCTCACCACTAGTCCTGATAGCTAGGGATGATGGGAGTTGTAGTCCAACAACTTCTGAGGACCTAAGGTTGAGAAAGGCTGGTCTACTGAGATCGATGGTAAGATGATGGAGTTTTATTGTAACATATATTACATGACTATATATTTGCTGGGACAAATGTTAGGTTATGTTGATGCTTGTGTTTTCTACAATTTTGAAAAAGTCCTTCCTACGTCTCCATTTAGGAATCTAAAATAAATTACATAAAACTTTATTAGTGGAAGGCTACTCAGGCTATGCCCCCCCCCTTTTAGTGTTTTTGTCTGCCTGAAAAGTGCACTTGAACTGTGATGGTGTTTCTTGCTTGCCTGAAGTGAAGATGGAGAGGTAAAACCTGAGGAGAGATCCACACCTTGCCCTGGCCCCAGTCACCACTGGCATGAGGGTGCCAGAAGGCTGCGCCTCACAGAATACAACCCTGGGAAAGAATAAAGGTTTCCCACTTTCTGAGCCAGATGGACCAATGGTCGGAGCCAGGGTTTCCTTTGCCTTTGAATACCAGTGGCTGGAGAACAGAAATGGAGGAGAGGTTGTTGTCCATGTGCACTGCTCAGAGGGGCTTTTCACAGGGGCGTGGGGTGGAGATCATGGGGCTGGCCGCAGTTCTAGATAGGCCTCTGGTCTCATCCTGCCGCAGCCAAGCTCTCCTGATGTCCTTATAACAGGTCAGTGGGAAACAGAAGCAAGTTATGTCTTGGTTTTGTGGGAGAAATCAATTAATCACTCAATTAGGAAGGAAGAACAGGAAGGGAAGAAGGCTGGTGGGGGAGGGTTCACGTCGGGTGGGAAGGAAAGAGGGCATCAAGCCTGGGGACTGAGAGGCAGGTTCCCGAGCGAGGGAATTAAACGCCCAACTTGGGTCAAAAAGGACCCTCCATGGGAAGAAACGAAAGGGAGGAGGAGGAAGAAAAACTGAGCAAAACAAGGAGAAAGACCCTATGAAGGAATGCTGCGGTGGGGGAGGGGAGGGCCCAATGCGGTGGAAGGGAGAGCGCCAGTGACATCACGGGAGTCGGCCGTGACGTCAGGGAGACGCGGCTGTCACGTGCCTCCCAGCCAGCCTCCGCCGTTGCCTTCATCGCCGCCTACCGTCAGTACTCACCGCCACCCGCTCTGCTCGCCTCCGCCGCGCTACCTTCCCCGCTCGCTGCTTCTCGCCTCCTTGCCAGGCGTCGCCTGGCTCCGCTTCCTCACCGGGCCAGCCGCAACCCCGCCCATCTCGCTTGCGATTGGCCGCCTAGGTCGCTCTCTGGCCTCCCATTGGCTGCCGCCGGAGACGCCTCTGTGGCCCTCCCCGCGACGGCCCCGCCCACTGTTTGACCCCCGCCTCCCTCCTGTCACTCACGCGCAGTTTCAAGCCTGGCGCCTTCGCGCCGCGTGCCACGCCTACCCGGCCTCTGCGCGCCTCCTCATTGGCTGTCGTCCCGTCCGCCTCCTCGCGTTGCTCCTACTGGCTCTACGCCACGCCAGTCTCCTCCGCAAAGCGTCCCTCCGAGCGTACTGCCCGCCCCGTTGATCCAAGACTTTCCATTGGTTGCGTCTCCGCCCTCTCGCCGCCACCTGGAGGCTCCTTCTCCTCCTATTGCTGGAATGCACGCGCAGATTGACGAAAGAGGATGAGCCTGAGCTGTGGTCGCTGATTGGCTGCCAGAGCTGAGGGAGGCGGAGCATAGTCCTCCCAAGCGGTTATAGCGAATAGTGTATGCGCGTGACACTAGACGTGGCAGGTGCTGCACGTGGAATGCTCGAGGTTTTATTTATTTCATTAAATGAGATATACGTACTGCGGCTTGTTAAAAAAAAAGTATTTTACAAAAAGAACGATTAAATTTTCAGCAAAAACTTTAAAATACTGATTTAAAACCTAAAAAAATTAAAATTAGCAATAAACTGACATCTCAACGTAATGTAATAGCTATTAATAACCCTAATCATTGTTATTCATTTTCAATGCTGCTATTACATTTTTTAAAATTAAGAATTAGAGGAAGCTAAGCAAAAAGCTGAAATGGGGGGGGGGGTCTGGGCTTGTTTTTAACTCTGGGAGCACCATTTGTTTTGTGAATTATCCCCATCCCCACCCCTGCAACTCTTGCTAGGGCCAAGTAGGGCAAAAGCCTCCTTCATTTATTTTAATATGTGGGTAGGGTGTGATAGGTTTGTATACCTAGAAGAGAGAAGATCTGAAATGTTACTTCAAGGGAGCTGGAAAACAGGAAACTGATGTAGAGCACAGTCAGACACTGTCGCAGTGGCAGAAGGCAGCCAGCAGAAGGTCAGAAAGCTTTGTGATTAACATTTTTCTCCCTCTCTCTTGACACCAGAATTCTAGGACTGAGCTGGTCACAAAGACCACACACACTTCCTGCATCGCCTCTCTCATCAGCTCCTTGTGACTTTGACTCAAGTCAAGCGGGAATGTTTCCTTCCTCTGTCCCTCCCTCCTGGCTCAAAGTGTTGCTACCCCATCCAGCTGATGCGTTGTGGACAGGAAAAGAAGCAGAACTGGCTGCTGTGTCCACCTTGGGCCATTCTTCCTGGCCTTCTTACTGGTTAAGGAGAAGCCATTTGAGGGCACAAAGCCCTAGTTTCTTTGCTCAGAGGCCATTCTTCTCCATGGGAAGATGTGTGTGTGAGGGGGTGTGTCTTTTGATCCTGTAGGTAACAGAGGGACATTTTATTAAGATATGCTTGATTCACCACACTAAAGAGTTTGATATTTTACCAGGAGCACCTGGTCAGAGAGCTGCATTATTATTATTTTTAAAAAAATATTAAATGTAAAATAAAAAGTACAAACAACAAAGACAACTTAGGAACATAAGAGCTCTGCTGGATTAGGCCAAGGGCCCATCTAGTCTGACATCTTGTTCTCACAGTGGTAACAAGAGACCTGTGGAAAACCAGCAAGCAGGCAGCAAGCACAAGAAAACTCCACTCTGGTTTCCAGAGACATTCTTGCCTTGGGCATGGAGTGAGAAGATAGCCCATGTGGCTAGTAGTCATCGGTGGCCTTTATCTCTTTTAAAGCCATCCATGGTGGCCATCCTTGCCTCCTGTGGCAGTGAGTTCCATAGTTTAACTATGTGCTACCTTTTCTTTTCTCTGCCCTGAATCTTCCAACATTCTTCTCCATTGGATGTCCACAGGTTCTAGGGATAGGAGGGAGGGAGAAAGATGAAATTTTGCTGATCCACTTTCTCCATACCAGACCTAATTTCATGAGCCAGCATGTCAACTCTTTGCTCTTTGCCCTGTGGTTTGTATCATCACAGGCCCATGCTGACCTTTGCACCCACACAGATATCACTGAGGAGTGGGGAGTTTTGTTCTCATTTTCTTGCTGCTGGGGGTGGGTGGGTCTGGAACCAGATAAGAAAGCTTGCACAGAAAGTCCAAAGTGATGGGTTCGGGTTAGCAGCAGGGAGCTCCTCCTCTCCCTCACCCGAGGCTGAATCACCCCGCAAAAGAGGAAGGAAAAAGCACACGTTCAGCAGACCAGCTTGCGACAGAACATCAGCTGTACCAGATTGGCAGCGCCGGCTCCAGATGTCACACCCAGGCATGACCAACAGCAAGACGTTCCGGAGGGCCTACTCCTTGCGGGGGTCCAAGTCCCCCAGCCTCCTGGATCCTGCCTTTGGGAGCTCATGGGACCACCTGGAGGAGGCAGATCCCGCCAGGCGGTCTGGAGGCGCTGCTCTCGGGGGGCACGGCCTGGTCCCCAAGAACAAGGAAGAGGCCCAGACGAAACCTGCCTGGAGCTGGGGGAGGAGAGCCACGAGTCTGAGGGTGCGGAAGGCCAGGGGAGAGGAGGCCGCGACGATGGGAGAAGCAGCCCACTCCCTTGGCCCTGGCGACGGGCAGATGCTCATCGGGAAGGCCCACGGCAAAGCAGGTGGCAGGATGAAGAAACGTAAACAGGTGAGAAAGTGTGAGGAGTCGGCCTGGCACCAAGGGGCGGCATGGTCAGGTGGAATGGACGGTGTCTTGCGCATGGCCCTCAGAAACTTTGAGCCTGCACCAAAGAGGAGTCTGCTCCATTGGTTAGGGCAGAGGGCAAGGATTCAAAGGCCACATTCACACCCTACATTTAAAGCACCATGGTGCTGCTTTAAACCCTGAAGCTATGGTTTGATAAGGGTGCTGAGAGCATAGGAGCTAACTCCTAGGGGCCAAGGGATCTTTAGAGGGGCATAAAATATTTGAGGGGGTCACTCCCACCCCAGTTGATTGCCATTGCCATTCAAATGGTGTGCGTTCACTGTGTCATTTGACTGATTATGCAGGGTGGGGCTTACCCCTTTTATGAAGATCACCTGCTCTGAGACCCCACAGCTAATTCTCCCCTGGCCTCCTCGCTGGCCCAAGTAGGACCAATTCAACCAGCTAGCCCTGGGAATTATTTAATGCTTATTTCCCCTAAATTGATTTTTGATTTTTGAATTTTATTGTTGTTCATGTTTTTATACTGTATTTTATGCTGTTTTTATAATTAAGTGTTCTAAATTTGTTGCTAGCTGCTCTGAGCCCGGTTTTTGAACCGGGGAGGCGGGGTATAAATAAAAAATTATTATTATTATTATTACCCATCCCCCTAATATTCAAGTTGTCTGAGTCATTAGGAGACCCCTATTCCCCTCAATTCACAGGGACCTCTGGGAATTGTAGCTTTGTGAGGGGAGGAGGGGGTCCCCTAACAACTTGCTGCACCATCAGCCAACTACAGCTCCCAGGATATATATTTTTGGGCGGGGAGGGTTTGGAATCAATGTCTGTTGAAAGTGCTTTTAATGGATGGTGTGAATGTGGCCTCAATGCATTTAGCATTGCCAGCTAACGCTAAAACAAGCATAGCAGCCCTTGTGCCTATGCCAGCTTGATGTGCAGCAATCCATCAGGGGAGGTTTTCCGTGGCATGGGGCGAAACCTGTGTCGCACATTCCACCAGACTCTGTGCTGCTTTTGCATGCAAGGGACCAGGGCCCACGTAGCTAATGGAGCTTTTTTCATCTTCTGGACTGGCCCACTAGAGGGCACTGCGCAAAAAGAAACCTGGGAACTCTTCTTCAACTGCCTGCCTGGGAGAGTCAAGGTTGTATGCATACTACTGTATACAGTGGTACCTTGGGTTAAGTACTTAATTCGTTCCAGAGGTCTGTACTTAACATGAAACTGTTCTTAACCTGAAGCACCACTTTAGCTAATGGGGCCTCCTGCTGCTGCCACACCGCCGGAGCCCGATTTCTGTTCTCATCCTGAAGCAAAGTTCTTAACCTGAAGCACTATTTCTGGGTTAGCGGAGTCTGTAACCTGAAGCGTATGTAACCTGAAGCGTATGTAACCCGAGAAACCACTGTAGTTTTAAAGAACTTTCAAAACCCTACCTTCTCTCAAAGAATTCTGCGCCCTGTAGTTCTACCCCTCACGGAATTACAGTTTCCAGCAACGCTTAATAAACTACAGCGCCCAGTCTTCTTTGAGTGAAAGAATGTGTTTTGGACGTGGTTTAAAGGCATAGTGTGTAAACAGCCTGAAAAGCACAGATCCAAGAGGCGTTGCTCTCCTCCTGTGCCTCCTCTTTGTCCCTGGGAAAACCCACTCCGTACCACTGAAACAGAGCAAATGGCAGTCCTCAGAAAAACCAATTGACATTTGTTCTGTTTCAGCGGTAAATAGTGGGTTTTCCCACTGAAATGCAGCATGACAAGTGGAAATCCAGGCGAATCCTCACACAGTCTGGTGTTTGAAAGCTTCAGGCTTTTAACATCCCTTATTTCTGAGGGTCCTGGTGCATCAAGGCCCAAGCCAAGAGCCTCAGCTGGGCAGTGATTTTGCCAAACCCCTCTGGGAACGTTTTCCAGCTAAGGAACAGGGTAAATGTGGTCATGAATATTTATTTATTTATTTATTTAAGAACCATTTTCCAGAAAGAAAAATGTTGCTGTCTTCCTCCAGGAGCCACTGTCCTCCCTGAACAAGCTAATTCCAGCAGAGCAAGATAGAGGAACGGGGCCTGTCTATTCATCCATCTAGCTTGCTATGGCCCACTCTGGCTGGCAGCAGCAGCAGCTCTCCATGGTTTCAGGCAGGGGACATCCCTAGCACTACCTGGAGACACCATTAGGGATTGAACTCGGGACCTTCTGCACCCCAGGGAGATGCTGAGCTGCAGCCCCTCCTCTTCCAGAGAAAGGCCTCTTAACTGAGCTGAAGAACTTGGCTGCGAAAAGTCCTTCCCAGGAATTGGGAGTGTAGGGCTGGGCGATATCTGGTTTTCAACATCGGAATATATGACCAGCTAAGCACCGCGAAAAGATCATGAAACCGATATGATTTGGACTTCAAACCTGTTTCGGACAATAACATCGCCCAGCCCTATGGGAGGGAGGGAGGGAAATCTCCATCAGACACGAGATTGACACATGAAGTCCACATATCTATCATCAGTAGCTCTTTAACGGCCAGCGGAGTGCAGAGAAAACATCCCAGGGTGGTTAACAACACTACTTCCTGCAGGCAAGAGGTTGTCTTTTCAGACACGTAACACACCCACACGCGCTGGAGCAATGTGGGGCTCTGTGTGGGGCTTCCCTTGCATTTGATCCAGAAGCTGCAGTTAGTGCAGAATGCTGCAGCACAATTGCTGACCAGAGTGAGATCCTGCCAGCATGTGACACCTGAGCTCAGAGACCTGCACTGGTTGCCAATGTGCTACCAGGTGTTGCTATTTGTATATAAAGCCCTTAAGAACTTGGGACCAGTTTCTCTGAGATTGCCATGCCCCATATGCACCCACTTGGCTGCTTCAACAGGTGGAACCGGCACTGTTGCAGGTGCTACATAATACTTCTCCCGCGTTTTTAAGGAATTTATCCTTTAGTGTAGCAGCACCCAGACATTGGAACTCACTGTCTATTGACATCAGGCAGGCGCCTTCTCTGTATCCTGTTTGGTGCCTGATAAAAACATTTTAGCAGCGTGGCTGGGGAAACCCACCGGATGGGCAGGGTATAAATAATAAGTTGTTGTTTTGTTTTTGTGTAGTCTAGCCTGCCCAGATACATAGAATGCTGACATGTGGTTTTAGCTTTCCTTTGATTTTAACTACAGTGGTACCTCGGGTTACATATGCTTCAGGTTACATACGCTTCAGGTTACAGACTCTGCTAACCCAGAAATAGTACCTTGAGTTAAGAACTTTGCTTCAGGATGAGAAAAGAAATCGCGCAGCAGCAGCGGGAGGCCCCAATCGCTAAAGTGGTGCTTCAGGTTAAAAACAGTTTCAGGTTAAGAACGGACCTCTGGAACAAATTAAGTACGTAACCAGAGGTACCACTGTATTTTCTTAATGTTTTATACAGCTTGTTTTTTATTGACGATTGCATTATTTTATTCTTTAAATTACTTTGTGTCGTCATTCCCCTTGCAATAGAGAGGTATAGAAATCTTATGAAATGGATAGACTACAAGGTGACTGTAAAACAGGGCCTTTAATTTCCTGGCATAGCTTTTTCTTCTTGGCCAGACTTCGTAAGGAAGCAGCTGGGCCTCCCCGCAAGCCGCCTCCTATCTGGCTGCCCAATGCAAGGCTAGATAACGAATCCAGATTTGAAGACCTCCAGACCCTCTAACTCTCCTTCTTTGCTCCCTGCCCCTCCGCAGCAGGTAAATCGTGCTCTCCGGGAAAGCTGGGAGACCTTCTTGACCAACGTGTACAGCTTAACATTGAGCCGCCCGACCAGCAGACCCACCACTGATGAAGCCCCGACGGTGGGGACACCGTGAAGGAAAAGACTCCCCTGGACTAAGCATGGACTCAGGGAAGGATGCTGAACTGACTCAGGCAGCACCAGGGCTTCTCCCTCTTGGACCCTTTCAACTGTAACCTCCGTGGGTTGCTGGCAATGTGGCATGTGCCTTGGAAGGACTTCTTCACCAAAGCTGCTCATTGTTCCTGGGCTTCTCTACTGGACTCCTTTTTCAGCATTCATTTAGCTGTGATTCCTGCAGGGGGGTTGGACTAGATTCACTTTGAAGGCTTTAGCTGCTAGTGGAAAGGTGTTATCCAAACAGGACGTCTCTGCTGCTGGACAGCAGGTCTACCCATTAAGAAAAAACAGAAGGGTGGACATGGTATCTGTTTTTTTCAGAGGCCAGATCTACCCAACTCAGTAGACACAGTGCCCAGGCCTCACTGCCACCCACTCTCCAGATAAATCAGAAATACAGTGGTACCTCGGATTACAGATGCTTCAGGTTACAGACTCCGCTAACCCAGAAATACTACCTTGGGTTAAGAACTTTGCTTCAGGATGAGAACAGAAATCGTGCTCCGGCGGCGCAGCAGGAGGCCCCAATTAGCTAAAGTGGTGCTTCAGGTTAAGAACGGTTTCAGGTTAAGAACGGACCTCCAGAACAAATTAAGTTCTTAACCCGAGGTACCACTGTAGTGAAAACCTGTTCTGTGAATATATACATACCTTTCCACTCCCTGAAAAATTCATAGGGACCCCCCTTCTCCCCACCCTCCAGAGAGTCCCACAACTGTCCTCCTCTCTAGTTTTCTGGCCACTTTCCCCCCTGACACTCCTTGGCACAGGAACATGCCTGGCAGCTGTCCATCAGACATCTCAAACCAGTTGCCTCCTCTCCTGGCTTGGATTCTCCACCTGCCATGCCCTGCATCGCGTTAGCTAATTCAGGTAGATAGCAAATACCTTTGCCTCCTGGGGAGTGAAGGGTTTGCGGAAGGAGACACACAACGGGATATGAACACACCTTGTGGTGACCCAAAGTGTTGCTGAAAGCCAATAAACCCAGACCCCACCTCTGCTTGGTCTCTTGTGAAACGTTCCTCCTTTTTAGGCCTCAGGTATGTTCTTGTGGAAAGTTGGGGTGTATAAATGTAATCGATAATAAGCTTGATTGCATCCCGATTTGACTACTGCAATGTATTGTATGAGGGGCTGCCCATGAAGACTATGTCTTTGAAACTTCTGCTTCTTCGGAATTCAGCAGCCATTCTGCCCAGAAATGGAGCAGCAGCCAGTGACTCTGGCATAAGGTGGGGAGTTGCAAGTTCCCTATAACTGGCGCCAGCCAACCATCTGGTTGCAGCACTCTGAACCAACCAACAGTTTGCAAGACCTCCTCAGAGGTAGCCCCACATAGAGCATGTTGCAGGAATCTCAACAAGGTCCCTAAGTAAGGTCTGTATCACCATGGCCACATCTGACACCCCAGGAACAGGCAGGGTTGGTGCACCAGCCTCAGGTGTGCAAACACAGGTCTGGGCTTTCCTGCTATGTATCTAAGTGGGTTTGGTTTGGGTTTTGTCCCAGTGCTTTGCCCAACAAAACCTGCATTTTACCACTGGATTGGAGCAAACAGCAATCAGGTTTCCATGAACTGCTGTTTGCTCCGATTCAGTGGTAAAATGTGGGTTTTCCTGGGGAAAATGCTGGGACAAAAAAAGCACCTAGGAAACAGACCAGAAAAGCCCAAATCTGTGGCTAGAAAGCATGGAGTAAAGGTGAGTGTGGAAAAGACCTACGATTCAGCTGTTAGGAACAGGCACATTTTGACATCCCAGTTTTTGTTTTTAATCTTATTTATTTCATAAAGTTTATATACCACTTGATTGTAAAAACAAACAAACCCTCAAAGTGGTTTACAGAAAGAAAGAAATTATCAAAAAAATGTTAAAAGCAGCTGTATAAAATATTCAAAAAATGATTTAAATCAGCGATAAGCTAAAAACAGATTAACACACGTAAGCATTCTAGGCATCTGGGTAAAGCTTGTCTAAACAAAAATGTGTTTAGCAGGCATAGAACAAAGTACAGCGGAGGCCCCTGCCTGATCTCAACAGGCAAGGAGTTCCAAAGGGTGAGTGCTGCCACACTAGAAGATCGAGTTCTTGCGTTCAGTTTGCCCCATCTCCAAACTGGCATGAATTTTCCTGTGTCATTCATCTAAGTTAGGCATTTATTTACATAATTTGGCCTCATTCATGCATTTTCCCAAGCCATTTTGACTAACAGGATGCACGTTATTGTCAGTCTTCCCCCATTCATTTTTCAGTGCATAGCCCCCTAAAATGCACTTTGGGCAGTGGTGAAGAAGAAAAAGAGAAGAGTTTGGATTTGATATCCCGCTTTATCACTACCTGAAGGAGTCTAAACCGGCTAACATTCTCCTTTCCTTTCCTCCCCCACAACAAACACTCTGTGAGGTGAGTGGGGCTGAGAGACTTCAGAGAAGTGTGAGTAGCCCAAGGTCACCCAGCAACTGCATGTGGAGGAGCGGGGAATCGAACCCGGTTCCCCAGATTACAAGTCCACCACTCTGAACCACTACACCACACTGGCTCTCACTGGTGGGTGGAGAACTGCAACGCAAAATTCAGAGGGCAACTGCATTTTAGCTCTCAATTTTGGAACTGCAAAGGGTTCACATTGACGTGTGGTCGGTTTGCAACAAGATGCAAACCCAACTCATTCCCCAATCCTTCCGTGCATGTCATGTCGGGTGGGGGTGGGGAACCGCCGGATACGGGACTCTCTGTTGCTTGGAGGAAAAAGGAAGACGCCAGTCACCTAAGTGTCCCCTATAGACCTGCCTTTCACTGGAGTTGTGGTGTCATCTTTTCCAAAAGGGAGTAGCAAGTGGCTGACATGCCAAGAGGCCACCCTGTGGAAGTTGGCCCTCTCTCTTGAGCATGAGAAGAATGTGGTGTCTACGTGGCGCTTAGCAGGATTTCGGTAAAAAGCAAAGAGCCCCCTGCCACCCGCCTCTCCATCCAGGCCTTTGTCCAAGCCAATCATCTCGCCATATCAGGCGCTCCTTTCAGCTGGCTTTGAAAGCCCCATTCAGCTCCAGGCAGTAGGATGGGCCCTAAACCATCTGCAGCTTGGGCAGAGGGGACAACAGCGCTGAGCTGGCTGCTTTGAAGTGAGAGATGCCAGGGAGCAGGGGGGAGTTGGGGGCCAGGGTTTTGGAACGCAAAGGCTGCTTTAATAATGCAAGAGGCTTCTCAAAGCTCCCAAGTCAAACGCTGGCGACCCCATGACCGCAGAGAAGCCAGAGCATTGTGTAAGGAAGCCTCGCTTTTGCCCACTGAAGGGAGACTTGCAGCATTGTTTGGATTGGGGTCCCAGATGTGCTGCAAGTCACGACTCTCGATTCAGGCATGAGCTCTGAGGGTGGATTTTTGAGTGGAGAGAGGCAGAGTCTTGCTATAGCGCCTCAGTTGGGCCCGTTCTATTATTTCACAGGTGTGAGGGCCACCCTAAGACATTTTGCAGCCTGAGGCAAAGGACAATGTGAGGTTCCCCTCTCCACTCCAGGCTCAGGAGTTGACTGGCCTGGTTGTTGAATATTAGGTCAACACTCAAGACAAGGCAACATCCTCCACTCTAGGGCAAGGTATGTGACATACAGGCACCTCACTGCCACCCCTCAGCATCTGCTGCCTGAGGCAGCTACCTTACTTTGCCTAAAATAAGGGCTGGCCCTGCAGGGGATGGAAACATGTTTGTACCATCCCTATATTCACACTAATAATTATTACAATATTGGGGGAGGGAGTGGGGCCAGTCCTACCCTTAGGCCAAGTAAGGAACTTGCCTCAGGCAGTGGATGCTGCAGGTCAAGGAAAACTTCAGTGCACATACTACTGGAAAACTGCATTGCAAAAATTAAGAGAATGCAAATTTCAAAGGGTAGCCATGTTTCGGTTCTCGTATCGTTTCAAGAAAGTGCAAATTTGGTTGCTTCAGCTTCAAATGCACATTGAACCTGCATTTCACCCCTATCCATGACCAGCCATCACCAACTTGGTGCCCTCCAGATATATTCTTGGACTACAACTCCCACCAGTCTCCACCAGCACAGTCTAGGAGTTACCAGCCCTTAGTTCCCAGGCTCTGCCTTCCAGGGATCTGGTAACCAAACCCAGAGCAGAGGAGACATCTAACCTGGTGGCTTTCTTTGCAGGGCCTCTCGCGTGGTCTACCAGCATGAGAATTGGGGTCCCTGGGTAGCAGCCTTACACTGTTGGTGCAACTGCTCTGCTCTGAACAGGGACCAGATGCCAACTGGCCAGGCAAGAAGCATTTGGTACTAATTGTGGTTTTGAGCCTTCCTTGCTGAGTTCGCAGTTCTGCTCTGCCTCTCCGGCTTCAGGCGTCTCACCGCAAGGACAGCCCCCCCTGCAAGTGAGCTCATGTGCTAAACGCAGGCCCTGGTGAGGTCAGGCTGGGGTTGGCTTGGGAGATCTCCAGGTTGCTGTGGAGAGAATCAGAGGCTGATTTGGGAGGAGGAAGAGGAAGAGGACAATGCCACGTCTATGTGGCCAGGCCTCTGCTCTTGGTCGGTTCTGCTCTTGTGTTTTGCATGCATTTGGATTCCAAAGCCTTCATGGTCACAGAGACAGTATGGCATAGTTAGAGTGTCAGACAAGGACCTGGGAGAGACTCGGGTTCGAATCCCCACACGGACATGAAGCTCACAGGGTGGCCTGGGGCCAGTCACTGCCTCTTAGCCTCAGCTACCTCACAGGGTTGTAGTGGGGATTAAATGGGGGGGGGGTAGAACTATGTAAGCCGCCTTCAGCTCCCTGAAGAAAATGCAATAAACTGGTTGACATCTGTCCTTCTCGGGAGACAATGGAGGAGTGAGCCTTCAGGGGTACAGTCAAACTGTTGCAGAGTTATAGCGCCTGCTGTGGCTGTAGAGACCTATTTGGGAGAGACAGGTTTTGTTGCAGCTGGGGAAGATGAAGGCATCTGGTTTCACTGCTGCAGATGCACAGCTTCTCTCTGCGCTCCTCCTGGCAATCGTTCCTCCTCTGGTCACTGCTGTGGATGCACGACCTGTCTGCCTCCAGGCACTGCAGTTGTCTGCAAGAGGTTCCCACTCATCATGGTTGATATTGACAGCCTTCATGTCATGTTCGCAGACATCTTTATAACGCAGAGTTGGTCTGCCAACTGGCCTGGTGCCTGAAGCCAGTTCCCCGTAGAGCACGTCCTTGGGGATCCTGCCATCTTCCATTCTGTAGACATGACCCAAGCGAATGTAGACATCGCTGAGACAGGAGTGTGAACATGGAGATAGATAGATAGATAGATAGATAGATAGATAGATAGATAGATAGACAGACAGACAGACAGACAGACAGACAGACAGGGGCCATGTTACCCTTTGGTTCAGAAATAAATTCTCTTAGAGCATTTTTGGATGGGTATTTACTGTAGTCCTTCAGTTAGCAAGGTTTTCTATAGAGTCCATCCAATGTTGTCGGCATCA